ACAGCTAAAATAACAGAAAAAGTGCTAAAATAAACCTAAACAGCTAAAATTACCATAAGCAGCTAAAATGACCCTAAACTAATAAAATGACCCTAAACGGCTAAAACGGTCCTAAACAGCTATAATGGATGAACACAGCTTAAATGTTAAAGCTAAAATGACTGCAAACAACTAAAATTCTTGTATACATCTAAAACCGTTGTAAACAAAAATTTACCCTATACAGCTAAAACGACTAAACAGCTAAAATTTCAATTCAACATTTATTTATACAGATTATTTAAACAGGTTAGTCTCATTGAGCTTCATATGGCCGTAAACAGCTAAGATGGCTGTACATAGCTAAAATGTTACAGCTAAAATGACCGTAAACAGCTAAAATGGCTACACAGCTAAAATACAGCTACAATGACTGTAAACAAAAATAAATTACCCTAAACAGCTAAAATGACCGTAAACAAACTAGTTGTCGGCTGTCGGTTTGTTGAGCGCTGGTTTCCAGTTGGACCACCTTCAGGCTCTGAAGGGCCACACGTGGCCCATGAACCGCAGCTTGCAGAGCCCTGATCAGTTTGTTGGTTCTGTTTATTTCTGGGCGAACTGAGGGGGGTTGGGGCACCTTTAGGAGCACGCTGTGCACCTCCTCTGCTGACAGCTGCTGAGGAGACACGCACCTCCTTCTCCACTATTTTGGGAGGAGGCTCTGGTTTAAGGAGAACATTTGAGCTCTCAGTAAACATGGAGTCAGCAGAGTCTCAGCTGTTGCTGATTAATCATCAGGAGGCCCTGCTGCTGCCGACAAATGTCACTCAGTCAGTCCGGGGGGGGGGGGGGGGGGGGGGGCGGGGGGGGGGTCTCAGCAGGACCACAGGCTGAACGCAGGCCTGCGCGCGTGCTCGTGTGATGTCTTTAGGGGAGTCAGGTCCGAACAGGTGATGTGGGAGCTGAAGGTGTGCGCAGGTGAGAATCTGCAGCCAATCAGGAGCCGGTTGAGCTCAATGCTGTTGTGTGACGTCACAGTCCGACTCCCGCCGTGGACTCTGTCCCCGACCCGGACCTGAGCTCCAGGCGGTCCACAATGATCACCACAGTCGGCACGTGTGATCCCGGTCCTGGATAAGCGCGCGCGCGTGGCATTTGTGTGCGTGCTTGTCACTCACCTGGGTCTGGATGTGCTCGTGTCCGGCCCGGGTCTCTGTCTGTCCAACAGTGTCCCAGTAGGTGTCCCCCTGAGGGATTCAGGTCCTCCCTTGGACCATCAGCAGGTTCGGCCCGCACGGTGCAGCCGAGTGGACCGGGGGGGCCGCCTCCCGCCTTCCCTGGGGCCCTGGTCCCCAAATCCTCCCCCCGCGTGACGGGTGGGCTGTCAGTGACGGGGGGGCAGGGAGGGGGGGGGACGGGGCCGGTGGTGCAGGACTCTGTGGAGATGGACCCTCCAGCCTCCTCCTGCTGCCGTGAATCAGCCTCTCCTCCTCGCGCAGGAAACCTCTGCTGCCGTTCAGGCTACAGCTGCTCTCAGCTCGCGCGCACGCGCACCACAGCACAAAAACCCCACCGAGCTCCCATGAAACAGCGCTCCTCCTGGAGCTGGACGGAGCACCTCCTGCAGCCTCCTCTGACCGCGGAGGAGCAAGGCTGGATCCTCCTCTGACAGGGAGCCGCGCGCGCTCCACGCAGGGAGGGTGGAGATAGAGCACCCCCCCCCCACACACACACACACACACACACACACAATCACTCCTCCGTCCAACCGCCGAGACGTCATCATCATCTGAGAGACGCAACCAGAAACACAAACACACAACCAGAACCAGAACCACAGACACACAACCAGAACCACAGACACACAACCAGACCCAACACACAACCAGAACCAAAAATACACAACCAGAACCACAGACACACAACCAGACCCAACACACAACCAGAACCACAGACACACAACCAGAACCACAGACACACA